GAGAAAAGTTTCCTTTTTTTTTTTTTTTTTGGATATAGAGACAACCGCAGTTTGGCCCCTTTTTCCCTTGTTTAGCTGCTTGGTACACTTGTATTTGTCTGTCGTTACAGATGATTGAAACGCTTGTAACTACCGAAGCTCAGGAACTGCTGTACCAGCTCACAGCTCTGCTGGAGCAGGAGCTGCGATGCCAGCCGAAGGCCTCTGGCCTGAGACTGATTGAATCTGCTCATGACAATGGCCTCCGAATGACTGCAAGGCTGAGGGACTTTGAAGTGAAAGATCTCCTCAGCTTAACTCAGTTCTTTGGCTTCCATACGGAGACATTTTCTCTAGCTGTGAATTTCTTAGACAGATTTTTGTCAAAAATGAAGGTATGGCTTTTTAAAGGATAAGTTCTCAGTCGTCAGCTCGTTACGACCTTGTTCCTATTATAAGTTACAATATCTTGGTTTTAGACAGCTAAAGGTTAAGCTTCTTCCACTCGCTGTGATTGCACAAGAGCCAAAAAACGGCCTTGTCTTTTGGGATTTTAGCAGTGTTAGGACAACTGTCCCCTCTGGAGGGGAGGAGGAAGAGGTCATCTATTTCAACGTGGAGACAGCTGTCGGCTTGGAAATGCAAGCAGTATTAATGAGTTAAATCAAGACAGACTGTCTGGCCCATTACATGCATACAAGAACAGTTTTCAGTTGCTTCTTGTTTTACTGCTTGTTAAATCTATCTGTGAGGCTCATATAGATCAAGGGGCTGGATGTTATTTAGCACTTACTAATCTGGCAAAATCTGCAATACAAAGGAGTGCTCAGTATACCCTCATCTGCGGCATGCAGACCAGGGATTGTTGTTAATCTTCTAACTAGCCGTGGTTATTATACTATGATCAAGAACAAATACTTGTTTTCCTCTTTGTTTTCAGTATATTTTAGTACCTTCCTAAACCAAAAAGAGAAAGCTAGATGGAGTGAATGAGCAAATGGTGATTTTGAAAGACTGAATACAAAATAAGCTATAGAAAAAGGAATCTAATGGCTATGGAATAAAATAAGGGACTATTTTTGAAAATATTTTTGGCATAAGCCAATATGTACAACTCTTGAGATCCTAAAGGCTTCTGATCAAGGTGTTCTGGAGCCTAATAAACTACTACTTCCTCCCTTAAAAAAACTGTTCTGCCAACCTGCTCTTTAAATGAATGAGGCAGAACTTGCAGTGCATAAAGGCCTCTTCATGTAGTGAAACAAAGGTAACAACATCAGTGAATAAAAAAGACTCAGTTTTTCAGCATTTAAAAAAAAAAACATAGTTTTTTCTTAATGTGGACTGTTACCTACATGGCTTAATTTGCCACATGTTGAACTGACAGATTAAAATCCTTCATCTTTGACAGTAACAGTATAAACTGATTTTTTTTTTTTTTTTTTTTTTTAGGTACAGCCTAAACACTTGGGCTGTGTTGGACTCAGCTGTTTCTACTTGGCTGTGAAGGCAACGGAAGAAGAGAGAAACATTCCCTTAGCCACTGACTTAATTCGAATAAGCCAGTACAGATTCACTGTTTCTGATATGATGAGAATGGAGAAAATCATACTAGAGAAGCTCTCCTGGAAAGTCAAAGCCGTAACAGCCTTCCAGTTTCTACAACTCTACCATTCACTCATTCATGAGAATTTAAGCTGCGAAAGGTAAAATATCTAAAACTGATTTTGCTATGACTGCAGATGATGAAGAAACCCGCCTAGAAAACAAAGTGGGGAAAATGACTCAAGTAATTGGCCCTTCTGTAAATAAATAGTCAAAATGAAGGAAAATTCTGCCCCGATGGTAAACATCACAAATGTGATTCTATCTGTGGTTTAATATTATTTTAACTTAATGTGTTGTTTGCTTAAAGTTACCCAAGAGTACTGCGCTCTGAGCATAAAACCAGACTTGCTCAATAGTGGTGGTAGAATAAATCTCTCCTTAACGCTGTAGTAAGTAGTGCCTCATTGCACAGATTGCAAAATCTTCTGGCTTGGAAACAGGTTCCTTTTGCTAGCAAGCATTTGAAGTCCTTGTTAGCCAGCCTGTTTTGACGGTGCCACTTTCCTATGTAATACAACACTTGTTTTTGGCCTTAGGACTGCCAAAACCAAACACCTGTTTGGTTGAAACCCTAGAACTACTGGGACAAATGAGGCCCTTATTTAAGTAAAGAACATCCTGGCTACTTCTCTGAGTTCCCAGGGTGGAGCTGTCTTGATCAAGCTTGCTTTCTTGTGCTGCATTCACTCATCTGCTTTTATTATAGGAGAAAGTATCTTAATTTTGAGAGACTTGAGACCCAGCTTAAGGCATGTCACTGCAGGATCATGTTTTCTAAAGCCAAGGTAAATACGTGTCTTGGAAGCACAAAGATAATGAGACTACTGAAACTTAACAAATCGGTGTTCAAATATCATCACTTTTTCTGTCTCTCCAGCCTTCTGTCCTGGCACTGTCTATTATGGCACTAGAGATAGAAGAACAAAAACTACTGGAGTTGACAGAGGCATTGGAATTTCTGCAGATGCATTCCAAGGTGCGTATGGATTAAGTTTTAGTGGGGGAAGGAAGAAAAATACATGAAAGCACGTACTCACTGGGGAAGGGGTTGGTATATTGACAGAAAGGTTTCTTCTGTTTTTTCTTCAATTTGGCTTAGGATCTTTCCTGTTTTAGGTGAAGTACCTAAAAACGCTCATGTGAAATAAGCGTTTAATGAATTAATGATGTGTGGGATTCTGTTTTGCCGTTTAGATAAACAGCAGAGATTTGACCTTCTGGAAGGAACTGGTGTTGAAGTGCCTTACAGAATATTCCTCGAGCAAGTGTTCCAAACCAAACGTCCAGAAATTGAAATGGATTGTGTCTGGACGTACAGCACGGCAGCTTAAACATAGCTATTACAGAATAACACACCTTCCTACAATTCCAGAGACCAGCTCATAATAGGTAACTGTAAAATCAACTTCTGATAACGTAGAAGCAATTAGCTGTTAACAACCTCAAAATGTCCTATGCTATATGGATGGATAACCTGTTGAAGATTTGTGTGACATAAACCTAGTAGGCCTGTCGCAGAGACTGATCTGTTTTTGCAGTCATGCTTGAGCCAGTGCTTGTACCTACAGAACCACCAACCTAATATGTTAACGTCTATGATCTTTTGGTGTCCTGTGAGACCAGAACTGTGTTCTACAGACATTGGGGCCTCATTCAAACTAAAGCATGGGATAAAACTAGTACAAAGGCAAAGGATAAACTTAGCTTGCACCTACCCTGAGGAGAATTGTTTAAGAAGAAGCAGTTAGCTACTAGAATGTGCATCTTTTAAACAGTTCAAGTGAACTATTAGAAGGAAGACAGTTTTCTACAGTTCTACTTGTTTAACTGTCCATATAGTAAACTACAGAAACTGTAATTAAATTATTTGTATTACTGTTTTTTAACTCTGTAGAAATCATGAACTACTTCCATATCTAGACTTTTAATTCCAAAGGCTTTTAATTTTCTGTAACAGCTGTTGACTTCCTGTATTAAAACCTGGTGCTTTATTTGGCTCTTTTAGAAAGCCCTTCGATTGAGTGTGGTATTTATTTTATAGGACTACAATAAAATGAAGAGATGACCATCCTGTGGCCTAGTTTACAAACTGCTGAAGATTTGAGAAATAAAGTCTGAAACATGATCTTAATGAAGAACTCAACTCATGAAAAGAATATACAACGCTTCAGACTAAAGATCCTTTGGGCAAATACATTCTTTTCATGATGATTACAACAATGAATATTCAGTGTCAGTTTTTAGTTTTATTTGCTAGAATGTTTACTATTCAAACAGCGAAGCACCACACTACTGATACATAGAATGTTAACACCTTATAATTTGTAGAGCAGCTTGTGTAGTCTAACCTTGGTTGACTGTAACTGCAGGTGCTGAATTAGGTATTTAAGTTCAAAAATTTGACTGAGTTTCGTGAGAGTATACAACATTAGGAAAACATAATGTGCAGTAGCACAGTGCTGCAGTGTCTCAAGCAAACTAAAGACCATCCTGCTCAGTACTCGTGAGAGTAACAAATACATGTCAGTCCACCTGACATGCTGATCACGTGGTGTCACGTGGCTTTGTGTTCCTTCTGGGCAGGGCACTGGCCTTAAATGTAGATACCACACAGCCTCGTTGTTAGTGTGTATCTGCTGTGTATCTCAACTAATTTGAGTAGAAGAGATGAACCTTACTTCATTGCGTTGTAAAAGCAAGTAGCTGACACTGCATTAATAACTTTGATATTCTGTTAAGAAGCGTAGCTTACTGAGACTGGGAATGATATGAGTATAGAAATTTCATGATACATAACAAAGGCCGAGGGGAAAGCACTGAGACAACTGCCTCACATGCGAAACCAGTTTTCCAAGGTTCAACTGTACAAGAAGAGGTAAGTGCAGATGCTGAACAGGTGCATTTTTATATGCCCAGTAAGAGTGGGGCCGTCTTCCCCATACTGGCCCATAGGTAGGAGTGATTTTGTTGAGAAACACTGAAGATTGCTTTAACTGTTCTCTTTAATGGTAAGCTTCATAAAATATAACTGCTTTTTCTGAAGACTAGGTCAGTACTCGAGGAGAATCTTAGTTCTGGTGCTAACATGAAAGGGTTGAGAACGTGTTACAGTACGTAAGAGGGATAGTTGTGTTGGGGGAATGTTGCTGATGACTTCTTGACTTCTACGTCACTGTGAAACAGTGGCTATTAGTTGTAGCCTGTTAATAACTGATGGCCATATGAACTGACTTAGCAGAGAATGAGATCCGAATGTTCTGAATACAGCGTGTGCCTAGACGTTAGCCTACAAACCTGTCTTGTTTACAGTAATAGCTGATAGGTAAATCACGTTCCTTGCCTATCTCAAACAAACTGTAGTTAAACATTTCACAAAAGATTTCATACCAAAGCTCTATACTGGACAAATCATAATTTCCCTTGAACTCATGGGAAAGAATGCACTGTGTGGTAGCTGATTGGGTCATGCATCTTGCCAGCGCTGTCTGCACGCTGTGCTGACCTATGAAAAACATACAAGCGATTCATACAAAGAGGCGGTCAGCTTACTGGGAGAAATGGATAAAGATGCAACGTGCAATTTTAATGCCTCAGTATTTAAGAGATGTACCTTTCAATAAAACATATTGAAATGTGGTTAACTGAGTCACTTTTTTCTAATTGGTTGTGAAACATCTTCGTAGGATGCCTACAGCTGAACAGTACCTGAAAGAAACTTGCATACAGGAGGTAAGAGATTACAGAGAACTTCATTTATTTAAAGAGGCTCAATAGGGAAGGCTGGAGAACCAACAGGTAAGACTCAAGTGTTTGATAAGATTATTTCTTCTTGGCCCGCCCATCGTTGCTCCAAATTCTTTGAAAGACAAAAGCACCTAAACTGAAAGAAGATAAGGTACCTGTAGCTCTGACTGTTCCATGTAGACTTTGGCTTTGTTAAATTATTTTTCCAGTAATAACTATCAACTTTCTGTACCTTACAGTAGATACATGGTCGATGCTTGCTTATTAGTAGTCTGGCACCCAAATTTCTAATCCCAAGATTTTTGCTCTGATCTGAGCATCCCAGTGTGATTGTAAGTTTAGCTATACGTTTCTGTGCCTCACAAAATGACTTGGAACAGACATGGTCCTTTTGCTAAACAGATCACAGAACAGTGATATTACTCCGTGCTGATCTTGAACCGGAGGCAAGAAAAATTGTGACTAGGCTGTCCTCCACTCATTTACATAGCACAGTAGCACTAAAATATGAGTGGACAGGGCTATTCCCTATAGAGGGGATTGCTTTCAGTTCTGTAACAGATAGCCAAATATATACATTTATCAAACTCCTGTTACTCTTTGCCTATGAAACAAGAGCTGGAATCCCACTGAGATTGTTGTGATTGGTAAAGTACATACTGAGAACTGAATAGATACTGATTAAGGAAAATGACAGCATTATTGCTATTATCCTTTCCACCTAGATTTTTTCCACAGCTGGAGGTCTGTAACCTAGAGTGGAGAAGAGCAGTAGTTAACTAAGTGGCTTAAACTTTTCCTCTTAAAACAACTCAGAGCAGTGCTGCCTGAATACAGACTTCATACAGAATAACGTTAGCATGAAAGTTATCCTACAGCTAAGTCGGAAAATAGGGGAATAAAGTTTAGCTTTGAAAGTACATACAGTAAAATTGACAATTCATACAGTGAAGTGTCAGATGTCCTTCTAATACGCGTCTTCTGCTTGCAGCAGTTTAGTGTAAAACCTTTCTGTGCAAACCAACTTGTATAATGTAGAACACTGTTTCACTGAACACTACTTAAGTATTTTAATGCTTTTCTATCTTCCTCCTGTCTTAATTTTTACTTTTGCAGCTGTCTTGTTCACTTAACCACAGCATCTACCTTCTCAACTAAGATCTTAGTGAAGATACAAAACCTCATAGCCATAAATCAGCGTTTGGTACCAGGCTATATTTTCCTTTTGATAAGAAGTTCTCTACAACTCAAACATATTTTCTGGACATACCTTACAGCCTGGAAAGATGACGTGTAGAAGGTGTACAGCTGAGTGCAGGAGTGCTTTGCTGATGCAATCAAAGAGTGCTGGACATGATTAAAATAGAAGCAGTCCTCCCCACCTGTTGTTTTATTTTTGTCATATGCAACTGAAATAATGATGCAGTTTTAAAATAAGGCTCAGCAATACAATGGCAGTTTCTGGCAGTTTATCTTCATTGAAGAGACTTTTGCTCAGGGCTTAACTGTGGGCAGTAGTTTTAGTACTGTATTTTCAGAACACAATGGGATTCAGTAATAATGCTTTCTTCTTCTGTCAGTCTATTTAATAGACACGGCATTAGCCCTTCATAACGCTGTTGTTGGACTGGTTCTCAATTGCATCTTTAAGAATGAGCAGAAAATCTGAAAGCATAATTTCCCCATACAAAATACTAAATCATGCAATAGCCAAGTATAAAATTTGGCTCTTAAATTTAAAATTATATTTACAGAAGTCTAGAACTCTATAATCTTAGATACCTAATAGGCAACTTACACTATATGTTGGTCATGAAGAGACTTAAGATACCATTTCCTACTTTGTGACTTATCCTTCTTTAGTAGCTTCTTCAAGTATTCTGTCGCTTCAAAAAATCATTAAATACTCCTCTCGCTTCCAAATTTAAAATATCTATAGTGAAAGGACGTAACGCGTTACACACAATTATTTGTATGCAGACTTGCACCTGACCTCTGTCTTCTGGTATCATTTACCTAGTAGCTAGGATTAAACATTAGTCCTGTAATTGACAATGCAATGGATTGTAAACCCTTATTTCCTGCAACGCGCTTTAGTTTCTTTATTCAAATCACTATTTTAGAATGAAATTTACAAACTCTTACAGGACTGCTAATCAGAAGTGTAACTACAGCCTTCCTAAAATCCTTCCTGTTGCAAGAAAAATGTTAAGTATCTTGCTTCTAGGATCTGTTCGTCAAAAGTTAGTAAGGTAACGTTCTTGCATAAAGACAAACGGTATATTTGTTACTTACTAGTTTAATATGGGGTAAGAAAAGAAAGATACTCTGCTTAAAGGTGGTGGCGTGTGTTTTTCTGTGTGTGTGTGCTTTTTTTTTTTTTAAGACTACACCTTTTGGGGTATTTTGTCCTCAGTATTAGAACATTATCACAGCTTAAAATCAGCTGCTACCACTTTTTCTTGATTCTACTGGAAGAGATCTTCTTTCTCTCATAGAAATAAGTAATTGCCAACATTCTGCCAAATAGATCACGGAAGTCTTCACCAGTTACGCATTCCAGTCCTTAAGTGCGTTGTATTATCCCTCTCAAGGGACACAGGGGAAAACAGTTTACTTTTCAAGACTAGAGAAGTCTGGTCCTCCTTTGCTGTAATTTCCAGAAATTTCTGCCCCACTGAAGTCAAATCCAGGGTTCTGATGGACGTAAAAGAAAAATTTAGTATACAGATTATACTTAATACAAGCGTATAAACCAACGTTTCTGTTAACTTTCTGTGATTCTGACAAGGACATATAACTATCAGCTTGCTACACAATTCAAAGCTGTCACCGCACTGAAATTCCGCTTGGAGAATGCATCAACAAATAAACCTTGAATTGTCACAGTTGCGTTGCCCACTGCCCAAGTGACTTTATAATGCCATCCTCAGTTTGTCAGATCTCCCAGTAAAGAAATATTAACAAATGTTGGAGTAAGCTTTCTGACTTTTGGTGTCCCTTTAAATTACTATCTGAAAGCATAAGTACCTGCTGTGCTGGATAGCGATTAAAATAAAAACAGTGCTCTTTTTAGCTAAGAGTAATGTGCTGATTCAGCTGTTAACTAATTAGCTGTACTTCCACAAGTCTGCAAAAACAAACAGAGACAGCTGACTGCTAAAGGTGTATGAAAATGGTTAAAATCAATTTTAGTAAAAGGGCAAGGAAAATATTTGCCAGCTCTCCATCATCTGATATTATATGTAAATATAGTCATGAGAGCTTGATGTTAGCTGTATTTAAAACAAACTTCTAAACTATAATCTTAGAGAATAAGAGAAATCGTACGTACCCTAACTTAAATGAAAAGTTGTTGAAAAGAATTATGCATCAAACACTAAAACATTTTTTTCCTTTTCCCCAAAACTAACCTTAACTTCTCACCAAACATTCAGACAGAACAGCAAGTTCTTAAAAGTACTCTGATAAAGCCTAATGAAAATTCTATACATTAAAGTATGAAAGTATTAATTAATACTTTAATTAATTAGTATTGCATTAAAGTATTTGTTTCCAGGATCTTGCTACTGGACAGCAAAATAATTTTGCTCAGCTTTCACAGTCCTGACCCATGTGTGCAAATGCAAAATACAAGCAGTAATCAGTCCTCTGACTTGCCTCTCTTTGGAATCGCTCCAGCGTGAGTTTCCTTTGCATCTGGTCCTGTACCCAAGGATCAGCAGCGTATTCATTTTCTAACAGCGACGTCCAACAATTTCCAGCATCGCGGTTTGTCTTTGTTAGAACAATTCGTATCAATTTCCTGTCCTCTATTGATTGAAGAGAGCCACAGAAAACAACCATTAGACGCTGTCCCGTGTGCTACTTTTTTTTGTTGTTTTGCTGAGTTCACCATTAACATGTTGAAGCATGGAATTTTTTGCTGAAGTGATTTAAATTCTTAACACTGATGCCAACAGGGCTATTAGTAAATAATAACAACAACAAGAAATGGAAAAGCTCAAGCAGAGACAACCTTATGCAGCCATTCCCGCGCTTCTGGCCTTTAAAATGTTGAAGCTGTTCTGGGAGGTTAAAACGCAGTTCATAAGAACTTCTGTTTCAAACATAAACTAACTTCTTCGAGGGGTTCACATGTGAGAAGAGATTTAACCTATTAATACATACAGCTCTGCTAAGGCAATAATTACAGATTTGAAGTCAGGCTGACAGCTTTACAGAATGTTATTACCAGTAAAAGTCAGAAGTAAGTTTAAGTGACTTATGGAGGTATAATCATCTTTTTTTTTTTAAAATGTAGACAGTACTCTTATGAACAATGGCTATACTGAAAGAACATCTCGGAGTTATCACGTAGAATGTTTTAGCGCTAACTGAATAAATGCA